ACTACGGCATGCACGATTATGAGTACCCCCCCCCCCCCTCTTCCTGCACCTGTAAATTCGCTCCATCTCTCTAGGCGCGTTGGGCTTGTGGTCCTCTGTGAGATCCAGAGCTTTTCCTCCTCTGCTCAGCACCGCCCTGGCGTTACGTTACGATGCCACGGGAACAAAAACAGCAGGAGCAAACGTCGTCCGGAGAAACGATCATGAACATGCAACGATCAACCCATGTATCGTTATCGTTTTCCGTGGAAGACTCTTTGAGAACGAAACCGTTGGCATCAACGACAAGAGCAGAAGCAACATCAAGAGCAACCGCAGCAGTCAAACACGCAGAGAACGCACCGCTGCTGCACCGGGATCCTTGGGTCTTTCCTGTCCACCTTGAGACCACGGAGTGAGTGTCTGATATGATCGCAGAAGAAAAATCGCGAAGACATGCACTACCAGCACGACCGACAGCTCCAGACAATTGGAAGACAAGCCGCCACCACCATGAAAGGCAGGACACGCCGCTTCCACTACCAAAACCATCGCACAGAAGAACAAAACGGAAGCCACCCCCACACTTGCACACCAATACATCAGCGGTTCCAACCACCTACGAACCTTGCCCCCCAGAAGCAACCCCCCCCCCCATATCTACACCAACGCGTCACCCCTCCCCCCCGCCTACCTCGAGTCTCCCAGGTTGCACGAGACAACCTTCTCCTCCCTGTCACAGTGGATCACAACCGAGAAGCACCCCCCCCCAGGCATACTTGCACCACCAATGCGTCACCCCCTCCCTTACCGTGAGTCTCCCAGGTTGCAGGAGATGATGGAGACCTTGCCTTCCTTGTCGCAGTGGATCGTAACCGACACAGCGCAGCTCCCCTCGTTGCCGTAGGGGGTCTGCGTGATCACGTAGTCGTCGGCACACTTGAAGGCCGACCGCAACGCCTCCTGGACAGTCTCGAGGCCGTACACGTCGTCCCCCGGGGGCAGGTGGTCCATCACCTACGCACACAACAACATGGGTGCGGTGTGTTTAGTTTGTTCAGCGGGCGATTTGTATAGCAAGGGGACCACACAGCAGTAGAAATATTCTGCAGACGTTTGTTTGTGGGTGTGGTCTGTGAAGTCCATTCAACGGTCAGCGTACGAAATGTAGAGCAAGGGGCGGAGGGACCACTCATCAGTACAGTTGCTCTGGACCACAAAAGTTCCGGTGTATCGTCTTTTTCAGACTCGTCGACGCATATGACCACCGAGGTAATGATGCGCAGGTTGGGACAGCAGAGAGAAACGGAAGAGTGATGGTCAAGAACGGCACCCAGAACGGTCCCTCAAAGCACAACGAAACACTCACCTCAGCAGCAGCAGCAGCAGCAGCAGCAACACGATCACATCAACAATCGACACCAAACAGATACACAAAACTCACGTGCTTGTAGAGGTTTCGCCTCAAGTACTCTGACACGTTAGCGCCACCATGCCCGTCGTAAACGGCCGAAAAGCTCCCGTCGGAGGACAAGAAAAACTCATCCTCCATGCGCGGCCGGTGCCCCTGAGTGGACCACCATCAAGGTACAAAAAAAATGAGAATATAGCAGAAGCGTACAAATTAACGTTTCCTACTTACAAATATGTGTGTGATTTGATTATCTTTGCTCTGATGTGTTATTGGAAATGTGTGGTTCTGGGGAAGACGGATATGCGGACAAAAAACAAGCTCCTCCAGGATCAGATGGCAAAGAATATGACGCCTCCATGACTGGCTCAAAATATGTACCAGTAGGTAAATTACTCTAGGCAGAGCATCTAGTGGTTACGCTCACAGCCATGCTACAGCAGTAGTGAAAATAGAAACTAGCGTGCTCTATGAAAGTCTGTATGCACAAATTGTAACTTTTCCTTTTTGGTTCTGTGAGGTTCTGTGAGGTCTTCGAGTAAAACACGCCAGCTGTGTGAGCTGTCCAGCTTGGGAAACGTCACCATCAACTACAGCTGGCACCCAACTGTGGCCTGGTCCTGCTGCCTGTTTATATTTTCATCTTTCATAACCCCTTCATGACACTAGTTGTAGTCTCATGAGCCCACACCGAAGGGATCCCTGGTACATTCAACACCAATGCGATGGTGCCCTTTGACCCATTCCAGGGGAGTAGTAAATTGGCGAAAAACGGATGGCGCTGCGGCAATTTGGGCGCGTGGTTGCGGGGGGTCTGGCAGCTCTCGAGTACCAGAAAACTGTTCTACATCGGTCCATTGGTCCAGCGTTGGTTTGCAAAGAACAAACACAATGTTCACAAATAAAAAGTAGTGTTGGCGGTCCGGCAAGAGACACGAGACTGCTGTGGTTGTCTCTCGAACGGGCAGTCTTTCAGTGATGTATGTTTCCCACGCACAATAGAAGCATGCCCGAGACCAGTGGGAACAACGATCGATAACGACGACGACGACAACGACAACAAACAGCGCCGGGCTGCAGCACCAGCAGAAAAACAGCAGCACCAGCACGAGGGACAGGGGAGCTGCAGCAGGCCGTGTCAAATCGATCTACCTTGGTCGACGCAACGCTCGTAAACAGCGGCCGCCCGGCCAACGGGACGCGCTTCCCGCGCCCTTCCCCGTCCACCTTCTTCTTGCCCCTTTCCCCGGCTTCCTCACTCCCGCGGCCACTGGGCGCTGCCGCCGGGCTCATGGCCCTCACCCCTCCCCGCAAGTTTAGCGCCGAAACCCCGCGCAGGAAAACCCCGGCGTCTAACCAAGACGGAGGCGCCGATGATCGTGATAGGTCTTCTCTCCAGCCTGCTGCCGTGGCCTGTGGTGATGCCGCGCCTGCTCGAGGTGCTGTTGCAGGCGTGGATGCGGAGGCTGACGGTGATCGCCAAGCATCAGCCGGAGGTGCCTCGTCCTCCCTCTGCTTCTGTCCGGCTTCAGAAGAACCACGGACACCGCTGCAGCTGCTCTTGTCGTCACTGCTGCTGCTGCTGCTGCTGCTGCACCTGCTGTTTTTCAGCTCGCATCTACCGCCTCCCCTCCCCCCTCCTGCTACACCCGGCGCCGATGTTGCCGCCCTGGGGGGGTGTCAGCGCGCGAAGGGCAGCCGAGTCGCCGAAACGTCGAAAAGGAGCGCTTGTGGTGAGAAAAACGGCAGAATTCCACGCCGTGACTGACATGACGACACATGCACCGAAGAGTTGGAATCCGAGGTAGCCTTGACAACGATGCCAAGGAGGTGTTCGCGCAATAGAAGAGTAGAATATGTCCTCGATACAAGCCGCAAGCATGTAAACATAGGCCAACCCACGTTGCTAGCCTCGGCCAAAGGGATTTTCTGTCTCCAACTCGGCATGTACATGCATACAATTATACAACCCTGGTCATTTTAGATTAGGCACTTGAACCCCCTTTACTGCTGTCGAGTCGAATGTAAACGGACACAAGACACCACCCCGCACTCGCCCCCGTCGTTGTACTTTCAGGGGAACAGCAATAGTGCATCAGGTCACATGATCGGAGGGACGAGCGTCTACCTTCGACTCTTCAGAGAGAAACAAACGCTCACATGGAGTCGGGTGTGCAGGGTGACGCGGAGGTGTTGCTGGCGGTGGTGGCCGTTACGGCCGTCACCGCCGTCATGGCCGCCGCCGTCCACAGCCATCGTCGGCTTGTTCCCGCCGCTCCCCCTCCGCTTCCTCCCCCGCCGCCGCCGGAGCAGTGTCGCTGTTGTGGGCGAGGGTAGGGACGAAGGCCGGTTGTAGGTCGAAGAGAGAGATTGAAAAATGGAGACAAAAGATGACAGGAGTTGGAGATAGAGAAAGAGCGAGCAGACTAATCAACATCAACAAGATCAATTGGTGATCAACGCGACTCGGCAAAGATGCGGTCACCGCTGTTGTTGAACCGCGTGCTTGTCAGGGCTCCCGCTGTCGTGCTACCTATGTGCACGACTTCTGCGCTGCTGGGGAGGGAATACTGCTCGCACCGAGCAGCTGTAGAGTCGCTTCGGCACATGGACCAGTTACCAATCCAATTATTTATGTGTGGAAACTCTTGTAAAATGACAGAATCATTACAAGAAGCGCGGGAAAAATGTAGCAGGAGAGCGTTCGCGGCGGGCGCGTATTTCTTATACTAGTACGAAGTATCTGTTTGTCTGTCTGCAGCACATCATGTGCCATTAGCTAAAATATGAGCCATGCGGGCGGGGAGAGGCCTCAGGAGACAGACCCGCGTCAAAAAACGTGCGCCGCCGGGCGAAGTACGTTTCGTTTTGGATCGCTTGACTATGACATCGGGATCTTTGTTCCACCTCCCCCGAACCATTACTTCGGCGGGAGTGCACCGTCACTCCACGCCTGCAACACGGATGCGCACTAGCCCCCAAGTGAACGAAGATACAGTAGGCAGAGGCAGAGACCTTCTTCAACTGTTGAGCAGTACATATGTCGTCGGTCGGTCATCCTCCACTTCTCATGTGCTGTGTCTATTGGTTTTGTGCATGGGCCGCGGCCCTGAATTCGCGCCTGCGGCTACGTGCGCAGAAACTAACACAGTTGTATCCGACACAACCGTGGGTCTAGACGTTGGGAACAGCAGCAAGCGAGCCCCCGGCCTTTACCGCAATTTACAACCAACCTGCTCCGCCTTGCAGGTGGCTACTGGTGGGTTATCCCAAGGACCGAGTGACGATTGTATCCTCCATCATCCTTTGCAAAAACGCGCAACAAGCGAGCGCGCGCGGCTAACAAAAAAACACTTACCGCGCCAACAGCTAGGTCTGCCCCGCGTCCCGGTCGTACACCGGGCATCGATCCCCCTGCCCGGCACTGCTGCTGGGTTCCGCCGCTCCGGGTGGTTATGCTCCTAGCCTGCGAGGATGATGCAGGGGCAGAGGGACGGACAAAGGCCTCGCTCGAAGAGGCTCCACTGCTGCTGCTTTGCCCCCCAGATCCCTCCCACCTCGGCGACGGGAGCGCCGCGTGGGAGCGCGACGGAGAAGTCGACGGGGATGGCCTGATGCTAGGGGAGCCGGAAGCCGCTACAGCAGAGAAGGCAGCGGTGCGTTGTGGCACAACAACGTTAGTCTTGTTGCTGCTGGTCGAGCTGCTGCTGCTGCTGGTGCGTGATGATGTTGAAGCAGTAGAGCTTTGGTAGAGAGTGGGCGATTGCTGCTGCTGCGCGCCCGCCGCTGCCACTGCCGCACCGCGCCGCGGCCTGGTCGACCCTGGTACGGCCCTCCGAACGACAGTCAACATGCCCCGAATGAGCCTGTTGCTCCTGGTATAGCCTCGAGGTGGGGCGAAGCAAGAGCAAATGGAGGAAACATCCGACTTTTCATGCAACACGCCTACGCGATTGCCGGGGCCGAGGGGACGTGGGCGAACCCCGGCCCCGAAAAAATGCACATTGGCATGAGCAGGGAGCGTTGGCGGTGCAACTTGCTGACCAATAAAAACATTTCCATGTTCGTTCGTCGCTGCCTGTACCTCGAGGTCGGATGCTGTAGCTGCCCAATGTGACAAAACATACTTCTATCCATATCTACCTACACTTTGCAAAGGGATACGCGTATTGTTGGCGGCGGTACTGCAGGGTCCGCATCTTTTGCTTTGTGCATGATGATGGAGGTCAAGCAACAAGGGTAGCAACGTCGAGAGACTCATTATTATTCGTCCGTCCGTTGGCCTGGTCGTTGATGTTGTCTTTGCAAAGCGTAATCTCTATCATCAATGCGCAACAATAACAATCTGCAGCGTGAGGTCTAGACTACGTATGTGACATACCTACCTGGATGATAGTAAAAAGATGTGGTAAAAAGATGTGCCGAGCTCTCTTCTTGTTGCAAAAAAAGAAAACTCTGCACAACCTGACAGACTGGTGCAAGAGGCAATGACTCCCTCCCCAACGATGCCCCACCACCCGTCGGTAGTCAGTCTCGTTCTTTCTCTCAGGAGCCCTTGAATCATCGGCGTGCATGTAGACTATTTGATGTGACCTTCAAGTCAAGGCAGGAATTTACCGGCGGAGCGTGATTGATTGTGTCGCAGGAAAAGACAGGGTTGACCAAGGGATTGACACGACAAACTATCACCCTTCCGCCCTCTCCGTGTGTGTGTGTCGTGCACCACCTACCTACTCCCTACGGGGTCCACAGGCAATCAGTACACAACGCGCCCGCACTTGAGAACTTGGCGGCTAAGAAATCGAGCCTAAAAATGCTCCAAGTCCAAGAACTTGAGCACCTTACTTGTATGTGAGCTCGGTTAAGGAACCCTACACTAAAATCAGTAGTCTAGTATGGCGGATGTGTGTGTTGTGTTTTCGTCCTATTTTTTAGACTATTCTTAGATCTAGGCGACAGTCCCCCCATTTTTCGTGGTGAGACGTGCTGTACACTTTTCAGCGTATGTAGAGTGCTACACTTTTCAGTGTATTTTTTCGTACAACTACAATCCAGGGTCACACAGGAGGGGGTAAACACCAGGGCTTTTTTTTCCTTTTACCTGGTATTTCTTTTCATGCCCCACCTTCCTCCTGCGATGGGTGCTGGATATTATTTTTATCGCGAAAAGGGTCCAGCCGTCCCTTTCTCTCGTCAACGGTGCTAACGTCGAACTTTGGTACTCACGAGAGCTTTTAAGCTTTATTTCGCTTTCACCTGCACATTTCGTAAGATTTTCATCCCATGTGAATTCGAACTCACGACCTCTGCGACTAGCGGATTACGAGGATACCACTAGACCACCGGGGCGACCGGGTCTATTCGCAGCAAAACCCCAAGGAACTAGGAACTTCCGAGCCTCGGTCAGAACTAGAGGTTCTTACCCCTTTTGGGTCTACAGACGTGCTGACTGACCATTGATTGTTCATTTGTAAATAAATGCTGGTGAGGAGCAAGTCATGAAGTCCCGCCCCCTGTAGCCCTCCACGCCGGGTGTTGGGAAGTCCGAAGGTGTGTCTATAAAATCTTTGCATCGACCGCGCCAACCAGCCACTGAAATGGCGTCAGTCCCATTGGGTAAAACCTTCTGTAGGTAGGTTTCAATACGCGCAACGCGTAAAATGCGAATGCCAACATTGATATCTCTAACAATGATTTGACAGAGACACACGTGACAGCATCACGCATACCCTCGCCCGAACCTAGGCAGCCACTGATGCGAAGAGCGGAGGGCTGCAACAACATTTATTTGTATTTCAAGCCCAGCGGAGCCAAGATATCGTGGTATGTATGCTGCATCAACCTTTTTACAATCAACAACATATTCGCCTGATTGAGAGCGAAGTATCTGATTGAGAGCGAGAGCCAAAAAAAATGAAATTTCGGGTCCAGACGCCTCTTGCCATTTCTTGGCAAGTAGGGGACGGGCTATTCCAAGAAGCGGTGCAAATTGAAGGTCTCATCAGCAGCTTCGCGAGCATATGCGTGTCATCGTCATCGGATGCTGCAGCGAGGAGCTAGACAAGTTGCTAGATTTGCCCAGATTGGCTATTTCTGCTCAAACTGTTTCAGGGCGGTATCGCGTCGGGCGGTGGGCTCTGCTGTAGCTTCTGCTCCCCGCTGTAGCTCCACAACGAGAGACTCCCACAGGATGACCAGGGTAGCGGCTTGAAGCTACGGGCTAGCCCTTCAATTCAAGCTACACAGCAAGCTCCACCTCTCAGTGGTAGTCCGGCTACAGCGTATCGCGCAATCTCGCTCTCAATCAGATGCTACGCTCTCAATCAGGCGAATATGTTGTTAATCTTGATCGCACATACATTTCCAAAGATGAGCAGTCATCGCGTCAGCCGTTAAACTACACAAAAGCAGCAGTGTAGACGAGTTCAACAACAAAAGCATAGACGACATGTTCGGGGGCGCTGGACGCATTTATCTGGGCCGCCGCCCGAGCAGCCAGCATCGCTCGCCCGCGAGGTGTCTCCCGGAGGTAGAGGTTACTGGTGAAGGTGATGGTGGGGCATCCTGTGAGTACAGTATGACGTCAATGACCTCACATACTTGCTGATGAAGATAACTTCATACTGTAGCTCCACACCTACCCTCGCCCGAACCTAGCTAGCCGCTACGTGTGCGCGTGCTGGTGTGCTGGTGTGCTGGTGTGATGTGGGAAAAAACGGGAGCTCTAGTGAGCCGGCAGGGCTTACATGAGGGGGGGGACAGAGAAGAACAGAGGTATAAATACCAGCAGGCTATGGACCTTCACTGATCATTTGATTGATCATTACCTGAAAATAGAGTAGTTGAGGCATCTAGATGACTGATCATTTCAAGGTCTACAAGGCTACCTGCCCTACTGGCGGCAGCGTGACCACCATCATCCCTTCTGTGACTTTGTCGCCACCACCCTGTCGCGGGCTGCCCGCATGGTCCATAGGTGGAGATAGCGGTTCCTCTACGGAAGTACACCTCGACTATATTTTCTCTTTTTTCTGCGGTTGAACAATAATTGACGCCTAAACGGAACCTAGGTTCAAAGGGGTTAAGGCTACGCAAGATTTCTCACAAAAAAAGCGCTGTAAAAAGGAGATGGCGTTTCGCAGAACCAAACGAAAAGGACGTGGAATGAAACAACTTGGGTTCAAGAGTAGAGCAGGATTGCCCCAAAACAGCATTATTATTTTTAGGGGGGGTTGTACTCACAGTCGCGTGCAGTTAGACCATTGACCTCGCATCCCTATACAACCTGGACGAAGCACGCCGGGTTGTCACTGGACCAGACTCTCACATCACCGAGCGCGAAGGGCTGTGAGGTAATCGGCGAGTCCCAAGGAGGGTGCGCTGCATCCTGCTGAGGGTGTTCGGCATCTTGTGCTTACTTGCTCCTTGCATACGGATGACAGCTAACTGCGAATGACTTATATTTTTTCTAGTGTTTTCACTTCGAGAGACAGTCATAAGCATTGCTGTGTGTAACTGCCTCGAGGGTGCTTGACCAGTTTAACACGGCGTGGTGAAATCATCCCCTTTGCGCGGAGTGAGGGTTCTCGACCCGCACGACGTTATCTACCCGACCACCATTCATAATGGTTACGCAAAAAAAATAGAGCAAAAACAAAAGCGGTAAAAACCTAGTTGCCGAGCTCACGAAGTGATCGGCTTGTCTTTCAACGTTGTTGCCAAGCGACGAAAACCCAACCCCTGTGGCAAACACCGGGCGGGCGGGGACGAAAAAATAGACGGAAACAAAGCATCTGTTTTAAAACGTTTTGCCCCGTAGATCGAAAAGTCAAACTGTGCCAAATCCAAAGTCTCTGCATGTTTTTTTTGCAGATTGAGAACACCCGCGATGAACCAGCTACATTAATTCACATTAAATCCGTTTGTTGATCGAGCATACACAGGTACGTCTGTGGAGAACGGCGGAGGCGCGTCACAGGACCCGGAAGATCGGGCATTTTGGCGAAATTTTGGGCTGCTGCTGCATTCAAGCACATACAGGTCGCGTGAACACAGCTCCGTGAACACCTCCAGATAGAAATGTTTCTAGTTGTCTGCTGCTGCTGCTGTCAAGTCATTCGACGCCACTCACCCACCATATCGATCGGTAGGCTTTGGCAGTTGCGCGCAGTGAGTGGTGGTTGCTTGTGGCGTGCTGTTACTATAGCTGTCTGCAACTGAAGCACACTTTGCTGCGCTGGTTCACCCATAATCTCGGCGGCGGGAATATTGTGCTGAATGTGCATAACTTCAAGCACCTCGATCTCGCGCTTCAAGGCCTAAAACATACTTCGTAGATGGTGGATGAGCGGCACAGTTTTGATCGACGAGGTTGCTCAAGTTGGAATGATTTCTCCAGAAAGATGTAGAGGTTTGTGTCCCACCGGGGACAATTAATTGAGATTTTACAGTACAAGTAGCGGCGTGGGGGCACCGCTCGTTTTTTTTTTGTAGCAATTTGACCTGTGAGAAAAAAAAATATTTATGTGCGGGCGCGTTCTGTAATATTGTGATGCCTACAGAACGGGCCCGCAATTTAGAAAAATTCTGTTAAGAAAGATAGGCTCAACTTTTCACGAAAAGTAACTAAGAAACCCAGCTCAATCTCGGCCAGAACATAAGAAACCTACCAATAAGAAGCATGATCGTGCGATACTCCCCAGATATAAAACAATAGGGGTTGCTGGCGGAGCGTGTCCAATAAGAAACGTCCTACTGATGATCAGATGATGCTGCTGCTATGCTCCCG